CTTAGTCGTTCTTCATTGCTTCTGGGATATTGTCCATTTCACTGGTCTGGGAAATACGGCAGATCAATAGAAAGCACTTGGAGCAAAAAAGACCTGGGCTTGAAACCCCATGTCACATTTGCTGCTTGACTTTGGGCAAACATGTTAGCCTCTGTTATCAGAGGTCGATCAGTCCTCTGATCTGCCTGGAGAGGGGTGCAGTGAAGGGTAAAGAAAGGAAGACAAAGAGACACACTGTCAAACTATATGGGGGGCTGGGAGGTCAATGCCAGAGAGAAGAAAGACAAAGACACTCCGAGACAGCCACCATTTATTGGGTGCACACAATAATCGAAGGAAGTATTGGGTGACTCAGAGGGCAGTGGTAATCCTATGCTGATGAGGATCTTAGGTTGATGAGGAAGGTGAGATGGGCAGAGCATTCTTACAAGAGCAGGCGGGACAAGACCGCAGGCTAATAAGGAATTTGTCCTTCCCCTAGGTGAAACTTTTCTCATTTTTTTAATTACCACTTTTCTCAAGGAACCAGGATGTCTTCAGCTGATGTAATCTTGCCCTTTAGCGTCACAGCATCATGGGACCATTGAGGCCTCAGCTTAGAGGCACATGGAGTTACGTTTCCATATCTCATAGCTGGCTCAAACAGCAAGAACATTAGGCCTTAATTATGAAATGGTTTCCCCCCCAAAATTATATAGAATGGCTCTCGATACTCTGTGAACCCCATTACGCAGTGTCCCCCGCCACAGCTTAACATAGACAGAGAGAGCAGTATGTGGGGCTCCACAAGTCCATGGTGCCCCTTTTTCTGTTTTCCATTATGTCATGTCACTATACCTTTGCCATTCTCTTTCCAAAGGATTCTAGACCCCCACATCCGAAGGTCAGTGTGATTCCAATCTAAGGGTGGTGGGAATTGCTGAAGAACCCCTGGTCAGCCAAGGGTTAGCTCTGTTCATCTCCTGCCTTCTCTCTACAGCCTGACTTCCAGGCCCTCGCGCCAGCCCAGCTCCACCAGGCAGCTCCACCCAGGGGCCTTACGATCTTTGGGCCAGGACACAAAATCATTTAGCTGATGTTTGGTCTCTGCTCCCTTTCGTGTCCTGGCCAATATTACCATTTTCAGGACACGCACATTGGTCATGAGGGAAGCCCCAGGAGCAGTGGTCAGCTCTCCTGGCTGGGCTGAGTCTAGGACAGCCTGAGGACCTTGGCCTCTTGGTATGACGTTCCCATAGGCAGGTACCATCTGGGTGGAAGGGACCATAGGACTGCAGGGTTCTGGATCCACCCTGGCACTCACCATTTCTTGAACCAAGGAGATTTAGTGGGGCTAAGGGAGCTGTGAGAACAAAGAATTTATAGAAGAGAAACTGACCTCCAGTCTGCAGTTTGACTTCCTTGGATCTGTGTTCCTAAGGATGAGAACTTCCCATTCTGAGGACCAGCTAGGCATCTGGTGTGTGTTAGACCCTTTCCCTGTGCAACTTCCAATGGTTTTCATAATCCTAGCCAATAAATGTGATTAGCCCTGTGTTACAGATGACAAAATTGGCTCAGAGAGGCTGTGTGACTGACCTAGACCACACAGCCAGATGGGAAAGCTGAGTTTCAAAGTGGACCTTTGTAACAGTCTCCAAAGTTCTCCAGGCTGCCCCTCCTATGCTCTCTGAGGCTTCTAGCCCTGGGGTGCACACTGGCCACTCTCCACAAGGCTTCATTTTCAGTGAGTTGTGCCTCTCCAAACACTCCCTGAAGGAGAGGTCTACCTTCTCAAAGTGCCCCAAACTAAACTGGGCTGTCTTTCCAACTGTCCACTGTCTATCAGAAAGCAGAGACTGTGGAGTAGGGAGTTTGATTTGTGTGGGGGTAGAGGGGGTGCAGAGATACAAAAGATGTTGGAGCCAGCAGAAAGACAAAAGAATGACAAGAAGGAGCAGCTGCTTGTAAAGGGAAACCTGAGATAGGCATAAAGCTCAGTTCCCGAATCCTAGGCTTGAGTGGAGCCAGGGTAGGGTCCCCCCAAGGGATTCTGGGAGCAGACAGATGAGAGAAGAGCTGGGCCCCAGACATAAGTGGGCCCCACTCCTGTTGTACAGACAACTGGTGCCCAGTCATGTGTCCCCCCCCTTCCCCTCCAGGTCCCCTGCTTCTTCCTGTGCCTTTCTGCTCCTTTCCCATTGGGTTTTGGGGCTTCTTTTTTATTTCCTTTTTCCATGCTGTCTCTTCCAGATTTCCCCAGTGGTGCCCCACTCCCAATTCCTGGTAGTAATTTTAGCAACTTTTCCTCTGGACTCCCGCTAGCATGTTCACAACAGATGGTCCCTGGTTGGGCCTGACACTTGATCGGGTGGTGACAGAAGCCAGACAAAGCAGGCCCAGTGCCGGGGGAGGGGAGGACAGGGAGACAGATCACCTTCCTTCCACCCAGGCCTTATTTGGTCTACCTTGGTGAAACTGCCCTCCCTCCAGCCCCTTTTTATTTATAGCGTCTTGCTGCCGTCCTTTGTCCGGTCTGCTATCACTCTGCAGTGCACTCTGCACAGCTGCCATCCACCCCACCCCACGGGCCCCAGAACTCACCCCCCCCCCCGGCAACGCGTTTGTCTCTGCACGCTTAGGGTTGGATCCCACTGCCACAAACGGTTGAACCGAGCTGCGCAGAACAGGGATCCTTCTTTGGGCCATTTATCATCCCATTGACTAGCACAACATCAGGCAGAAAGTAGGCATTCAATAAATATTTGTTAAAAGAAAGGATGAACAAAGCTGTTCAGTCTTCAGACAGCAGCAACCAAAAGAAAGAATCATGATGGAGCCAAGGGAAGGGGATAGAGGGGCTAAGGACTGATGGGGGTCTTTTCCCTCCTCCTTTTTCTGTTTTGGTTTCTTGAAACAAAGTCTCACTATGTAGTTCAGGCTGGCCTTGAACTCATGGCGATCTTCCTGCCTCAGCCTCCTGAGTGCTGGGATTGCAAGTGTGCATCACCACACCTCGTCCTGATGGGGGTTTTTAAGGACATCAGATCCCCCAATCTGAAACATGAGGCAGAGACCCTGGATTAGAGAAGCGAGTTCTATTCTGCAGTGGGATGTGGAGAACAATAACATGGAAACATCAATAGGCCAGAGCTTGAAGGGAGGGAAACAAAGTGTGACTGCTGCACTAAACAGAGAGAAGCCTTTGCAGCTCCACACTGGGGAGGCTGGCTGAGGGTGAAGGCACTGTCAGAAATGGCTTACCTAAGTCCCAAGCATATTTTTTCATTTCAGTTTCCTGCATCTGTGGCCTGAGCCTTTGGAAATCAGGGAAGGGTGGCACCTTTATGCTTAGAAAGCTGGGAAGAGGGGAATGAGAGAGTTTTTGTGCTTTATCACCAATTTCCAAGTCCCTACTGGTGGGGCTGATTCCTCAGCACCTTGCAGGATGGGGCTGGGCCCCCCAGAGTGTATTATTCTGGACAAGTTAGTGCAGGACTCACTGAGGCCGCCTCAGCAACAGTACACCTCTCGCTGCAGAGCTGCAGCTGCATCAGACTCAGCCCCTGCGGCCTGTGGTCCAGCCCCTGCATGCCTGCCGCCCCTCCCCACCAACAGCTGCATAATGTCCTCAGAGGGTGCCCTTGGTTGCCAAGGAGCCCCTATGAAGACACCCCTCCTGGATTTCTCTTCCTGTGCCTGTTCCACCTTCTAAATGTACCTGCTCTGCACCCCTCCCCCAGCTGTTTTTCTCCTCCACTAAGGGCTAATCAGCCAGCAGTATAATTGGAGTAATCCACAGCACTGAGCGCTGGGCTGGGGAGGGAGGGGAATTTCAAACCAAACCATGGGATGGTTGCCTGGACACAGAGCAGTGAAGCTTGCAGAGCCTGTGAGGGAAGAGTAAGGCACTGACTGTGTTCTGTTCTCAGAGGCCCAGCCTCAGCTCCTTTCTTCCTTTCCTGTGGCTGTTCCAGGGCCAGCAAGAAAAGGGATCATTTTCCCTGTTCTGTCCCTCAACCAACTCTCTGTAATACCAACTGGATATAGGTCTAGACAGAGGTCACCCCAGGAAAGCCCAAGGGCCCAGGCAACGGCAATGTAGATCAAGGATCTTGTGGCTCAGAGCAGCTGCATCACCCACAAGCCCAAGAAGGGGGCTCTGAGCTAGGGTCTCAGGTACCTGCAGGGTGAAGGTAGGAAACCAAGTCAGGAAAAGGACTCCACACTAGGACCATCAGCCCTGCCTCTACCCACAGTGGCTCCTCACCTCCTTGGAATTCCAGCCCTCTTTCCCAGGCCAGGCTGCACCCCTCATCTGCTCATCTGCTTCCCACCTTGAATCTTGCTTCCCCGATGAGCTGATTAGCTGAATGACCTTAGAGAAGAAGGCACTTCCTCTCTCCATAAAATGAAAAGCTCGGACAGATCACTTAAGACCTGTCTGGCTCTGAGGCTCAGTGACCACAACACATTGCCTATTGGTCCAAGGAAATCCGTGCCCAAGTCAGAGTCCCCATGCCTAATCTCCCTAGTCGTTGTTCTTACCACTTAGCTAGGAAACCTCCTTCCAGCTGCCCCAATCCAGCCCTTCCCGGGGACCATGCCCCCAACTCCTCTCTGCTGCTGACACTGAGTTCCTTCCAACTCACTGGATACTGGAACCTGGCCAGGGGAGCAGAGGACACGCTGTGAATATAGGCTCCTGCCAGTGCGGAGGGCGAAGGGGCAGCAGTGTCAGGGACCAGGAATGCCCTGCAGGACAGTTGGCTCCCTGCCTGCCTGAGCTTGTGGTGGTCGCAGTCAGTTTGCTCTCCAGCCAGCTGTGGAATGCGAGGCCTGGCCTGGGAGATATTTTTGCTGCACTTTGAGCCACCCCACCCCCTGGGACTCAGACCCTGCACACTCCATGCCATAACAATGACGACCACTTCCAATTGTTTCCTAGCTGGAGGGGGAGGGGAGCAGTGTTTGGGCAGGAGGGGGGCTGGGGGAATGCTTTTAGTGACAACAGCCCTTTCTAAATCCGGCTAGGGACTGGGTGCAGGTGGGGGTGGGAGCACCCCGCTGCCCCATATATACAGCCCCTGAGGCCAGGTCTGGCTCTCAGCTCTCTCCTGTTCTCTGTCTTTCCTCGCTGCTCTCAGGTAGGAATGGGAGCTAGAGCCCTTCCCTGGGATAAGGACTAGGGTTAGGAAGCAGTTCCTCTAGAACAGCAAGCTTTTTGTGGGGCTTCATGGAGAGTATCAGGTCTGGTCACTGAACGTTCATGTGTATGTCTAAACATGCATATTTATAACATGGAAATATGGGGGCTCATGTGTTCCTGGAAGAAGCTATCTTTATCTCAGAGGAGAGTGTGTGTGTGTGTGTGTGTGTGTGTGTGTGTGTGTGTGTGTCTAAGCACACATGGTTTGAATGTAAGGGAGGGTATGTGTTTCACTACCTAAGATACAGATAAGTGGGAGGAGTGTGTTTATCATAATGCTGAGGATCAGCAGGTCCTTTGCGGGTGGGAGGAGGATAGCAGAGAATGATCATATTGGACGTGTGTATGCTCACAAGCTGGTTCTGAGAGATCTGGAATGCATAGCTGCCCACACCCAAACATGTGGAAGTGCTTGTCTGTGCATACAGGAGTCGAGACTCCTGTAAGCTGTTTGTACTCCCTGCAGGAGGAGCTCACAGGCAGGTGGGTGTGGGTGTCCCAGGTCTTTAAACATTGAAGAATATGCAGCCACAAGACCCATTTGTGCCATGCAGATGTGTAAATGTGCACACCTATTGTTGGAGCATATGTAGCACACTGGGGGAGTGCTGAGGTACAGGAAGGAAGCTTGTCTCTGGGTGAGATATGGGTGCGCATATTCATCAGAGGGTGTTTGGAAAGTATTAGATGTATGACAGGTGGTCTCTGCGAGGATGCCCATACCGTCTCCTCTCTGAGAATGTCCAGAAGTCTGACAAGATGGGGACAGGATGGAAAGGGACCAGCTGTGAGCCCACGGGACTTAGATTCCATGAGTCTTGGCTGTACCACTTATTGCTTTATGCCTCTGGACAAGCAAGCACTTACCCTTAACGTCCTCATCTGTCCAGTGATGTGAGGACTGAGAAGCGAGTGTGCTTGAAAGTGCTCTGACTGGAAAGCACCAAACAAGCGTGACAACCAATTATTATTATTTGTTTGTTTTAGTTTTTTGAGGCAGCTTCTCACTATGTAGTTCAGACTGGCTTTGAACTCTATGTAGCCCAGGCTGGCCTTGAACACGTGGCTATTCTCCTGCCTCAGCCTCCTAAGTGCTGGGATTACAAGTGTGCGCCACTATGCCCAGCCATCAATTGTTGTTTTGCAGATGGCCTGGAGAAAGAAAGTCTCACTAGGTGGGCACAGACAAGAGACAGCCAGTCTCTCGAGAGTAGAGAGGATTAGAGCTCAGAGTCCAGTCAACAGCAGGAAACTTAGCACTAGTCCTCAAGAGGAAACAAATAGTGTCCGGAAAGGAAGAAGGAGAACAGGACCAGAGAAGCTGTCCACTGTGTCCCACCTGTTTTCAGGTCTGGGGCAAGGTGGTGCGGAAGGACAGAGCCAGGGAGACAGAGGCAGGCAGCACTAGCAAGGCTGGGCCAGAGCCTGCACTGACATGTCCTCTTCCTCCTCTCCAGGTCTTTGCCTCGTCTCTAGACACATTTGAGATACCAAGGTAAGAAAATGGCAATGTGGCAGAATCTGAGAATATTGGGCATGATGGACCCAAAACCAAACTATGGAATTCTGATTTCTGCCCACCTTGGGAACAGTATCGTGACTACTGGGAGCACTTTACTCCTAACTATTGAGGGGGCAAGGATGGATGAGAGTCTCAGGTGCATATGGTCAGATTCCTCCTCCTGGGAGAAGCCCTGGACACTCTTCTGCCCCCTAAGAGAGCTCAAGCCTAAGGGGAAAGTTGGTGCCTCTTCTACCCTGGTGGGTGCGCTTAGCTGCTCTCTGGTTAAGGGGTAAGCATAGAGAGGCACGGACTTAATGGTGACTCCTCTGGAGCATAGTGCTAGGTGTCATTGGGGGTTCCACGAAGGGGAGAACCCAGGGAGGAGAATCAGGGAAGGGGACACGGGCAGTGGGAGGGCAGACAGCTTGTCTGGCTCACTCCAGGCCCAGCCATGGGGGATGCCGAGATGTCCGCCTTTGGGGCTGCCGCCCCCTACCTGCGCAAGTCAGAGAAGGAGCGACTGGAAGCCCAGACCAGGCCTTTCGACCTCAAGAAGGATGTCTTCGTGCCAGATGACAAAGAGGAGTTCGTCAAGGCCAAGATTGTGTCTCGAGAAGGTGGCAAAGTCACTGCTGAGACTGAGCACGGCAAGGTGGGTGGCAGGGCTGAGGTGAGGGGCCAACCTGGACACCTCCACACCTGGGTATACACAGGATCGGCCCAATGCATGCTGAGGACAGTGTGGGTCTCCTCTCCTTTGGGTAGAAATCCAAACCCGCCTTCTGAGGAGCCCATCGCATTCCCATATTAATCAATGCTTGCTGCCAGAGCCTGGCTCCTTCTTTGCCAAACTCCATTGTCCTGTGCCTCACTCTGCTCCTTCCCCTGTGAGGGAGAAGGGCTGATGGGAGGGCCTGTGGGGCTGTTGCAGACGGTGACGGTGAAGGAGGACCAGGTGATGCAGCAGAACCCACCCAAGTTCGACAAGATCGAGGACATGGCCATGCTGACCTTCCTGCACGAGCCCGCAGTGCTGTACAACCTCAAGGAGCGCTACGCGGCCTGGATGATCTATGTGAGTGGTGACTCTAGACTCTCCCTCACCTTTGAGCAGCCTGGCCCCCCGTGTTTCCATTCCTGGATCCAAGACTCCTGTGCTTTGTGTGTGGGCAGCATGGCTCTCAATCCCTGTCCCTACATCCTCGGCTTGATTCTAACACCCTGGGGACTGGCATGACCCCAGAGGACCCCAGGGGGGTTGAGCACGTTCAGAAGTTTTCCTTTCTCCTTTCCGTCCTGTGGGGTCTTCCTCTGACTCTGAAAATAGCCACCCTTCCCTCTTCATCAACAGCAGCCCACTTCTCTTTTTCTGTGCCCAGACCTACTCAGGCCTCTTCTGCGTCACTGTCAACCCCTACAAGTGGCTGCCAGTGTACAACGCCGAGGTGGTGGCCGCCTACCGGGGCAAGAAGAGGAGCGAGGCCCCGCCCCACATCTTCTCCATCTCCGACAACGCCTATCAGTACATGCTGACGGGTGAGCCCGGCCCCCCAGCCTGTGCCCCTCCATCCCACCACCCACCTGGGCCCGCGGCCCTCACCCCACTGCCTCTCCTCTTCCTCTTTTCCAGATCGGGAGAACCAGTCCATCCTCATCACGTGAGCAAGCACCATCTACCCACAGGGGCTTGGGGTGGGGTCCTCCAGGCTGACTGCAGGAGGAGAGGTTTCGGGCTGTGATTGCAGAGAGCATGGGTGCTGGGCTCTATTTGAAGGTCAAGCCTCACACAGTACTGGGCTCCAGGGGCCCAGACAGGGAAGCGAAGAGTGTGGGGCACTAGGTTGTGTACAGACAGCAGCAGCAATCACAGGTTCTGACTGATGTTTGTTGACTCCAGAGGAGAATCTGGAGCAGGGAAGACTGTGAATACAAAGCGTGTCATCCAATACTTCGCCAGCATTGCAGCCATAGGTGACCGTGGCAAGAAGGACAATCCCAATGCAAACAAGGTGCCATGGGGCCCACAGGTGCAGCAGCGAAGGGATTGGGGGCAGAGTCAGCACAGTGTGAAAGACCCTGCCAACAAGGGACGCGCACTCTGAGGTCGGAGGCCCTTTGGAGCCACAGACCCACTGGCTATTCATCCAGCCCCAGCATACTCCCCAGGGCCCAACCAGCCTCCCACCACAGCCAGGAGGTGGGCAGAGGATGAGCCCCACGCTCCTGCTCCATTCACAGGGCACCCTGGAGGACCAGATCATCCAGGCCAACCCCGCCCTGGAGGCCTTCGGCAACGCCAAGACCGTGCGGAATGACAACTCCTCCCGCTTTGTGAGTGACCCTTGACTATGGGCAAGGGCCCTTCACAAGAAAAGGGGGTGCTGTTGAGACAACAGCCAGCAGACTCAGTTGACTGCATTGTGTCTGTTCTGGGGTACCAGCAAGCACTGGCGCGTACACACTCGCACATACAGACTCACTCCACCCCTCCTGACCCATCCTGGCTCCCTGAGTCCTGAGAACCTCACAAAAGAAGCCCAGGGTCAGTACAGCTGTCCATACCCAAGTAACAGAGCTGATTTGGGTCATATTTTAGATTTTTTTGTGTGTTTGTTTTGTTTTGTTTTGGGGGGTTTTTTTTGGTACCCCGGATGGAACTCGGGTCCTTGTGCTTGCAAGGCAGGTGGCGGAACCACTAAGCTAAATCCCCCACCCCCATATTTTAGATTTCTCTTCTGAATATTTTCAAAGCTCTTCTGCAGTAGACTGGGAAAAGAGCACAGGCTTTGGAGCCAAAGCCCAGACTTCCTGTGTGCTCAGCAAGATCCACACCCTTGAGCCCCAGTCCCCTCACCTGTAAGGCAGAGCCGCAGTAGGTGCAGAGCACCAGCAAGATCACGTGAGATAGCACTAGAGGCACAAACAGGAGCCATCCACACATGCGGATCCCTGGGCCCCTGTTTCTACGCAGACCCCTGGTGGGATGTAGGGATAGGCATCCTTCTCCGTTTCACGGATACTGAACTGAGACACCAAGTAGGTTATTTACATTCCAGAGCCATCCAGGGCTTTCTGGGTTCAGTGGAGGTCCAAGATTTCATTCTGTCCCTTTCATTCTGTCCATTCAGTTCCTTTACTCTGTCCCATCTACACACAGGGGAAATTCATCAGGATCCACTTTGGAGCCACTGGAAAGCTGGCTTCTGCAGACATAGAGACCTGTGAGTGCCAGGGAGCCTGTTCATCCCCTGGGTCCTCCTCCTTTGCCTCCTGCCCCAGCTGCGGCCAATCTCCTCATTCCTTCTATCATCTTTCGAGGTATATATGCCACCCGTTTGCTGGCTCTGCTCTCTTTCCTTCCTCACCTGTTCTCCTCCCCTCTCCCCACTAGATCTGCTGGAGAAGTCTCGGGTGATCTTCCAGCTAAAGGCTGAGAGGAACTACCATATCTTCTACCAGATCCTGTCCAACAAGAAGCCAGAGCTGCTGGGTGAGCCCAGCTTGGCCCCATTGCCTGCTGTCCTCCCCAGTGCCTGCCTGTGGGGGGGGCAGGTCCCCCGGGACTGGCCTACATCTCCTTTTGCCTCCCCAGAACACAATCATACACCTTGTTCCTCATCTCGCACCTTTCCACTTTTCCCTCGGCATATTTCTCCTGTTCCTGTTGCTCTTTCACTTCCCTGTACTTGCCACCTCTTCTCCTAGAGGGTCGTTCCCCCATCACCCTCCCTCTTCCTTTTCATCTGGACATTGGGTCTTCCCTTCCCAAGGGCCTCCTCTAAGCTTTTATTGCCTTTTGATTCTCTCCTGGTCCTTGCTGATTCTCCTTTTCTCTACTCACTCTCTGTCCTCTCCTCCTTTGTTCCCCCTCCATTCTCTGCTCCTCCATGTTCCCTGCCTTCTCCTCACCCCATGTTCCTGCCCTCCCCTTCCTTGCCTGGCAAAGACATGCTGCTGCTCACCAACAACCCCTACGACTACGCCTTCGTGTCTCAGGGAGAGGTGTCTGTGGCCTCCATCGATGACTCTGAGGAGCTCATGGCCACTGATGTGAGTGAGGAGCCTGGGGTGGCAATGGGAAGAGTCCTGAAAGCTCCCCGGCGGCCACTATCTAGCCATCCTTTGTTTTCCGTGCTCTGTCCCAGAGTGCCTTTGACGTGCTGGGCTTCACACAAGAGGAGAAGGCCGGTGTCTACAAGCTGACAGGTGCCATCATGCACTATGGGAACATGAAGTTCAAGCAGAAGCAGCGAGAGGAGCAGGCAGAGCCAGACGGCACCGAAGGTGAACGGGGCAGGCAGGAAGGGCCGAGAAGGCCCAAAGGGCTGGCTGGGTGGGAAGGACCTGCTGGCCCACGTTGCTGGAGACAGGCACTGGGAACTGGGTCTTCCATGTTGCAGCCAAAGGTTCTTTCAACAATTATTAGAAAATAGGTTGACAACAGGATTGTTTGGATCACAATAGAGAAACTGGAAGGAAATCAGGGGAAATATGAGAAGCAGATGTTCAGAGAGCAGGCCTTTTCTAGGGGCAGCTCGAACCCTGGCAGGCCTCTGGCCACTTACCTTCTCCAGATGGGGGTAGTTAGAAGGGTAGGATGAGGGATAAGGAGGGACAGGAACATGGGTGAGATGAGCAGCCAGGGAGTCCTCCCACAATCACAGCTGCACTAACCAGAAGTGAGCTGGGGTAAGGAACAAGGGTCACCAAAAGCACTGTGTCCTTTCCTTCTCTACCAGATGCCGACAAGTCTGCCTACCTCATGGGGCTGAACTCTGCTGACCTGCTCAAGGGGCTGTGCCACCCTCGGGTGAAAGTGGGCAACGAGTATGTCACCAAAGGACAGAGCGTTCAGCAGGTGTACTACTCCATTGGCGCACTGGGCAAGGCAGTGTATGAGAAGATGTTCAATTGGATGGTGACACGCATCAATGCCACCCTGGAGACAAAGCAGCCACGTCAGTACTTCATAGGGGTCCTCGACATCGCTGGCTTCGAGATCTTCGATGTGAGTCCAGAGCCCTGGGAGTAGGGATGATCACTCGCTCACTCACTCGCGTGATCTCGGTCACTGTGCAGGGCCAGCTGTGGGCCAGGCTGGGAAGGCAGTGGGGATCCTGCAGCGCCATGGCAGCCATCGTCCCTGTCCTCAGGGGAACCCCATCGCCCCACCCCAACCGCACTCCCCTAACCTGACCTGGAGGGGACCAGCCACTCCCCTGCTGGGCTCAGCCAGGACATGTGGTGGGCTGACCCCACTGGCCCCCAGACAGCCTCCACCTGACCGGCTGCCACCCTCACCCCTCTGCAGTTCAACAGCTTTGAGCAGCTCTGCATCAACTTCACCAATGAGAAGCTGCAGCAGTTTTTCAACCACCACATGTTCGTGCTAGAGCAGGAGGAGTACAAGAAGGAGGGCATTGAGTGGGAGTTCATTGACTTTGGCATGGACCTGCAGGCCTGCATTGACCTCATCGAGAAGGTGCCGCCCATTCCCCTGCTGTGTCTCCTC